CATCACTTTAAATCTTCCATTTAAAATGATGTTTAAATCTCAGTTAATGCTCATTTACTGGAGCTTCCACAAACAACAATCAACTTAATTATTACATTCAAATGATGTACATTATTCAAGTTTACATTCACTTTGGAGAATAACACAGGAGAAATTAGCGGAAGCGCTCTCTTTTCCTCTCTCTCTCTCTCTCTCCTGACAGCCTGTCAGTATCTCATGCAGCTCACTGATCCAGTAATGAGTGACCCGACAATGAAGAATACATATATTTATTATAACTAGTTTAGCTTGTTCCAGAGGTAGATAAAATAGCTAAGTGTGTTAGGTGTAACTCTTACGGTACGTCCACACAGCAGCTTTTTCGAAAATCTTGAAAATCTTGGAGCTGGGCGTGTCTGAAAGCTTGGGGATTTTTTGCGAGCAACGCGACCAACAACCAATCACATGAATCTCCCGCCCCCGACATACAAAGCAAAAAACCCCGGGGATTTTATGCGAGCAATATATATATATATATAAACTCCCCAAACAGGCGAAAACCTACCAGTTTCACCCACTGTCTCTGCCACCTCCCTCCATGCCTGGTTCCTCCGGTTTGTATCCCGTTAATAGTTCTGGTCGTAATGAACCGGGTGATTTGCTACCGTAATTTCTCGTTTGGAATATGAGGAAATTAACTGCGGTCTGGTTCTCCCTGTGTGTGTGTTTCGCTGCGCTTACCTGTCCGGCGGGCGGAGCTGCAGGATTTCTGCTTCACACACGTTGCATACCGCTATTTTACTGTCTTTTTCAGACACCTTAAAATAATGCCAGACCGGTGAAGCCATGTTGGCGAGCTTGTTTTGCCGCACACAGAGAGAAGTGTCATGTATTTTACGTCATGCGATCGGCTCTCGCGATCGGCATGTTTAGAGAGCGGTAGAGAGTGAGTATCGGCCGATCTCAATCGGTGACCGATCGATCGGAGCATCCCTACTTGAAATGACGAAAAGGAAAAAGGAAAAGGACATCGCTCTGTTGGAGGGGCAAAGGAGTCTGGTGCGATTCTTTTCACCGCCAGCAAAGCGCCTTCCTGTGACGGAAAAAAACAAAACACCGCCGCATCTTCCAAGGACCATGCCAGGAGGGGTGTCCCTGTCAGCAGGGAGACGTTAAGAGATAGGTTAAGGGACGGCGCAATTCAAAATTGTGTGTGTGTGCAGACGTTACGAGATATTAGGCTTGTTTGAGACGCGTTGCGGCTCGCCTCGAAAGTAGACGAGAGCAGCCGATCGCAGCCGGGGGAGGTCTCAAAAAGCTCGCCTGAAGTCGGACAGCTCGGAGTCGGCTTCGTCTTCTTCTTCTTTCGTTTTTTTGGCGGATTGCAAACAACTTTGAGGTGCATACCGCCACCTCCGGAGTCGGCTTGACTCGGTTTGCATTTATAAAGAATGCACATGTGTTTAATCGTTAATGTCAGATATGTACTAAGTAAATACATTTGTTCCTGATCAAGATTAGATTCAACTTTATTGTTATTGCACATATTACAGGTACTGAGACAACGAAATGCAGTTTAGCTTCTAACCAGGTGCAACAAGCAGTAAAGTGAAAAGTAATGTACACAATCTACAGAATAAAATATAGAATGAATTGAATGATGAATAAACAGTGAGGGGTATGAATACACTAGATATACACAGCAGCCTGTGAGCAGTATGAACAGTGTGTATGAATATGCTAAGATATATAAAGTATGAAAACGGTAAGCAGTATAGTATAAAATATATAGATATTAATTTCATGATGATAAATATTGTGGAACAATGATGAAAAATGGGAATGGATGTGGCGACGTAAAACTGACACAAAACAACAACAAACTTTTGCCGAGCCAATTGGAGAGTTTCATCACCAGCACGGGGTAAAAACCACCAATGAGCGCTCAGCTCGAGATACCAGCGAGTCGTTTCCCATCAAGCATTTCGCTTCCGCAGCCCGTGGAGAGCAACTGCGCCGCCTCGCCGCGCCTCGCTCTCAAGGCTGCGGGCGTCTTTGTCCCGCGAGATTTCAACGTCTCATGTAGGCGAGCCTCCAGAGCAAGTCGGACAAAATGACTAACCATCATGCAACGCACGAGCAAGACGTTGATCGAAATTGCGCAGGTCTCGCTTGTCTCAAACAAGCCTAGTATCTATAAGGGACGGCTCAATTCAAAACTCAAGTGACGTGACGTCACCCCCCTTGCGCTCTCGGGGTGGACGCCCTCAGCCCTGGTCTGGCGGAAACACTGTTTGAAACCCAAACATAAAACTAATTAAATGTGTGAAGGCATAATCTTTGTTTTCAAGAGCATGGCTTCTTTGTCCAATTGGATGCTCATAAAAAACATATCCAAACCTCTTTTCTTTTCTTTGATCTACTCTGAGATGTAGAACAAACCCTTTAACTGTTCACATGTTACTGTCGTGTTTAAGTTGTGCATGTGATTGACTCAGCATGAATGGAGGGTGGCTGTGTTTCTTGCATGTTGCTCTTCTTTCCTAACATTGGATTTCTGTTTCTTAGGGATGAACTTTGAAGAGGAAGACGGTCCATAATCCACCTTTAAGTTTGAACCTGGAGGAACGTGGATGGAGTTCAGCAGCCAGTGAAAGCATAGGAAAACATGCTCTTTGTTTAACGACGGACGAGTCTCACGTGGAGCCCACGGAGGGCTGGGGGAAAAAGGACTGCTTGAAGCTCGGCACAGAAATCTAGCAGAGGGCTTTTAGTTTTTCTTTTCAGCCCTGCATCTTTTTTGGTTGTATGTTGGATTTTGGTTATTATTTTTTTTGGGTTTCAACGTTTGATTTGCAAGCAGCTATTTTTACACTATAACATTGCAGCTGAATGTAAGAGGGACGCCGGACATCAACGAGGAAACGTTAAGATAATCCACCTAGCAACAGCGTGTGTGTGTGTGTGCGTGGATCATTAAACTGTAGACCTCTGCTAACATACGAGCTTGACTCCTAACAGCATTATAGGAACACACAACGGCCGAAGAAACAACACTTCCTGTGTCATATGCAGCACTCATTCTATAGAATAAGAAAAGCATCGGGTTGTACTGAACATACTCCAAAGAGAGCCGTGCACATAACACCGTGCACATCACGCCTCTGTTGCTTTGTGCCGCTGGTTTCACATTTAGCTATTTAGCGCAGGCTCTCCTGGTGGCTGATACAACATGGGATAGTCACTGCTTTGCCAACATGAAACTCCAACAATATAAACCAACTGAATGTCTGTGTTCTTGAAATCAAAAAGCACACTTTATTTTGGGTTGATTTTTGGCTTTCACGGTTTCTGGAATGGCACATGAAAATAAAGAGATGCTTATGTTTTTGTCCGCCTATTTTTGTGTGTGCAGGCTGCAAGCTCGGGTTAAAACATGTCATGAATAATAATAAAAAACAGCTAATGACCTCACTGGCTTGAATTGTATTTTAGTAATGTGCTAGGGCAGTGGTTCTCAAATGGGGGTACGCGGACCCCTAGGGGTACGTTGGAGTACTGCAGGGGGTACGTGAGATTTATTTTATGTTAAGAAAAAAAACCATTTTTTTATTTATTCTACTAAAATCATACAAAAACGTATAATTCATACACACATGCATTTACACAAACTACTAATAGTAGTTTAACTACTTAATTCAAAGGTTTACAGTAATTCTGGATAATAAAATGGGAACAATAAACGGGGTGAGATCTCTTTTCCTCTCCCTCTCCTGACAGCCCGTCAGTCTCGTGCAGCTCGCTGAACCTCTAATAAGTGACCCGACAGTAAAAAATAAATATATTTATAACTAGTTTAGCTTGTTCCAGAGTAGATAAACAAGCTAAGTGTGTTAGGTCTAACTCTTAGTGTATTTTGCTCCACTCAACGGTCCGTCACAGCGGCGGAGCTGTGATCATGCAGAGCTGCGTGTTCTCCGTCAGCAGCAGCTGATCGGATCTCTGATCTCTCTCGCGTCCGGTTAGACTTCACTCGCGTTTATGTCCAAATCTATCCGATCTAGCTAGTTCTAGTTAATTATATGACTGCCTGCTTATCAAAGGACACCTAAACAATAAGTGTTGCTTGGCAACGGCGTGTGGCCGCAAAGTATAGCGCAGCATTATGCATATGTTTATAAAATGCTACTATATTTGTTCTCTTCATTCCCCACGCCCCAAAATAAATAAATAAATATACCAATTTTAGGAAAAGTAACAAAGTTTGAGCAGTGTGGGTTTTATATTAACAGAGTTACACATATATCAAAACACGAAGTGTAATAACTGCAGTTTGCCTCGCTGTCAGAATGACAAAGATCCTCAGTGAAGCTCAAGCCCATGTTTCACTACATTGTACAACTTATTAAAAAGATCAGTTCAATGCAACTAATGTCGTCTCAGTGTTATTACATGATGTTAAAATTGGTTTGCCATGAATTTTGTGATGGATTGTAAACATTTGAAGTGTAGCATTTAAGTGTTTCTCAGTTACAAGGTTGCTGTTTTAATAAATCAGACACTGATGGTGCAGCACTGTACCTCTTTATATAGGCTTTTTTTCCTTAACAAATAGTTTTTGCGCTGATCAGGGGGTACTTGGCTGAATTTTTTTTTTCAAAGGGGGTACATGAGTGAAAAAAGTTTGAGAACCACTGTGCTAGGGTATGGGGAAATATTTCAAGTTCATTTTTGTTAACTACTTTGTCAACAGATATATATAATACACTTTAATATCTCACATGATAAGACAGCACTTTGAGGGAATACACAAGCGCACATATAATATACTCCACATTGTGGGGGAAAGTTCTGAAGCAATTGGAGACAGGACTCAGAGACACGAGGAGAGCTGGAGCTTTGATGGCAAACACTGACGGTTTATTTGGAGCTTGGGCCGGAGAATTCACACGACATGTCACGACCACACGGTTGAGATGCCACAATCAATTCTGAAGAGCCCTCCTGTAGCTCCAGGTTTTAACGAGTTCAAAGTGGAATAATCCACATTCTTCAATAGATAGACTAAACAGCTGAGGACACTGAATCACATTTGTTGTCGCTTATGGCTCGGGGTCATCTACACCCCGAGAAGGATGTGTTCCAGGTGTCCCACAACAATAACTATCTCTGACCGAGAGTTGCCCGGTCACAAACTGGTAACATCAACTAAATGCTAGGGCAGCCCCTCCTTACGGGAGATAGCGGCTGCTCAGGGTTGGTCAGCTGCGTCAGAGGGCGAAGGAGGACATGCAGGGCCAATTATTCCCCAACACACAAGTTTGTTTTTTAAAGAACAATATACAACAAAACTTACAAAGAAATAGATTTTGACCAACTTGCTATGGCTTAAGGAAAAAGTTGTGGCTGATTGTTAAGCAGTCAAAAAAGCGCACTATATCAGGCACTCCAATGTGTTACATGTGTGGCTTCTGGCAAGTGAAATAACGGTAACATCCTCACCACTAACATGCCACATTGGTGCCATCCAGTGGCAGAAATACGGCATGCATGTGTGTAGCAGTAGATGGGATGCATTGTTGATATGTTTGATATTCAGCTGATTTTTGGAGGAATAAAATACATGTTCAAAAAGGGGACCAAGGGTGTTTCTCAATGTCAAGGAAGGATGCTCCAGAGCCACTATTTCAAGGATGCTACGTCATCGAGACCCGCCGAAGGACTGTTCCAATGGCCAAGCTCCTTGGAATTCTACCGAGATGTGTATCCTCCAAGGTCTTAAAATCCCCACAATGCTTTGCGCACGGACCAATTTCCCAAAATCTGTTGCGGAGAATGTAAGACGGGGCCTCATATGAGCACACCTGGACACTTGCTCGCCTGTTCCATTCTTCGTTTTCCGAATGCCAGGAAGGATTCTTGCCTAACTTCTGAAGCAAGTGACTCGGAAGACATGTCCTACTAAGGAAGCGTCCTTGACATTGAGAAACACCCCAAGACTCTTGTACTGCATGTATCCCAGAAGTCATTGGGGGTAATGCAGACAGCTGTATATCAGTATCTAAATACGAGCTCTTCCATCGCAGATATTTCTTAAGACGTAAGTATGAATGACAAGCATCTGAATATGTGGCTTTGAAGGGAGCATCTATCAGTTTACCAAGTCAGAAGGGTTCAGTCTGTGCGGGGAGGTTCAGAAACAGAAGAGAGTTGGGAGAGCAAAATCAAAAAGTCCAGGCTCAGACAACAACACCCACTGTTTCTCAGATCTCACGTGTTTGCTGATTGGCTACAGGTACATGCCGTTGATGAGGTAATCTGACTCCTCTGTGGTAAGGGGGCGGGTTTTCTTAATCTTGTGTCGAACGAGTCTGAGTCGACAGCCGATCATGAGCAGCAGCAGAGAGGTGATGATGAGGCCGAGAGCCAGAGGCAGGATCGCACCTTCAGGAGGAAGCGTAAAGGGAATTAGGAAGAGAACTACACATAAAACACGAAGTTCACTGGGTTAAACTTTACCTGACTCAGGTGGTGGATGCCCTCCTCGTACTGGAAATGGTTTGGCGATGGGGAAGCTGCTCTCTGGTTGGCTCTGAGAGACTTTAGGGGCAGCTTAAAAAAAATACAAATAGAATTTAGACTTCAGTCGAGGACGCTTCCTTGGTAGAACATGTCTTCCGACTCACTTCCTTCACAAATAGAACTTAGACTTTATAGCTAACATACACTGATTTTTCAATAAAGTTTGATTGAATGCACTTTACCTATCTCAGTCGGTTTGGTGATTGGTGGAGCTGCAGTTGCCGGTTTGAAAGCCGGGCCTAAAAGATGTTAACATGTTGTTTTTACGTCATTTTTAAATTACATTTAGAAAACATAAACACCCACAAGAAGCACATTCTCACCTTTTTGTATACATTCGCTGACGCAGTCAGATTCCTGGAGGAAATTGTTATGGTTGCCCTGGCAACCGCCGTACAGGAAGTGTTTGCATTCTCCCCCATTGTGGTCGTAGTACCAGCGTGGAAAGGTGCCTTTACAGGGTCCGACAACTGGAGCTGCAGCACATGGATCTACAACAACAGAGTTATAGTTAGATGGAAAACTAGAGTTCATTTTGGTCATTTAATAATAATAATAATAATAATAACAATAAACTATATTTATATAGCGCTTTTCTCTAACTCAAAGACGCTTTACAGTCGGGGGGAGGGTAGACAAACAAGGACAGGCCAAAACAAACAAAATCAACAAAACAAAAAAATAAATAATGGGGGGGGGGGGCTTATGGATATACAGAGTTGAAGAGATGAGTCTTGAGGTGGGACTGGAACAGGGTGAGGGACTCAGACTCACGGAGGTCTTGGGGGAGGGAGTTCAAGAGCTTCGGGGCTGCCGAAGAAGGCTCTGTCCCCAAAGCTCCGGAGTTTGGCCTTGGCAAACACCGGCTGAGGTGGATCTGAGGGACCGGGGGATTTGGTAGAGGGTGAGGAGGTCAGTGAGGTAGGGGGGGGGGGGGGGCAGATGGTTGAGGGCTTTGTATGTGAGGACCAGGAGTTTGTAATGGATGCGGTGAGAGACGGCAAGCCAGTGGAGTTCTTTGAGGACCGGGGTGATGTGATGCCATGATTTGGTGTGGGTGAGGAGTCTGGCGACTGCGTTCTGAACACGCTGGAGTCTACTGAGGGATGTAGTGCTGATGCCGTAGAGGAGTGAGTTACAGTAGTCGAGGCGGGAAGAGATGAAGGCGTGAATGAGTCGCTCAGCTGCAGGGCGGGTGAGAAAGGGACGGAGTTTAGCAATATGGCGGAGGTGGAAAAATTTGATTTTAACAACTTGGCGGATGTGAGGCTCGAAGGAGAGGGTGGGGTCAAATATTACTCCACTGCCATCGATGGTGAGTGTCAGGTTGGGGTTTTTGCTGAGGGTGGGGGGGGGTTAGTTATTCAGCCTGTTAGACCTGTGATGCTGGACTTCTCTCTCTCTCTCCTAAACAATGAGGTATCGTCTTAGTTTGCCAAGCATTTACACACAAGACTGAGCATTCATGACACAAAGAAAGAAAGACTCCTGAGAATGTAATACATGCGGTAAAATACCGATGGGGGAGAGTCTCAGCCTGACTGAGGGATCAGATGGCGGAGGGGACAGAGGGGCTTTGTTCCAGCACTCAGAGGAGCAGGCAAAGAGCTGCTTTCCCGCAGAATGCTGAGTGCCTCTGTGATTTGGCCAGCATTTGAAGCTCAGTGCTCTGACTCAATGGCTGCCTACAGAGACTCCATCTGCTACTTTGTCCACAAAGTAAAAACCTCTGCCTCTTTACAAAGGGATACTGCACTGGTGATGCTAATAGATTCACATCCAGTCATATAATGGGAACAACATCACAGATATCGAAGTTATTGCAAAAGGACTTTATCAAAGATTATAATTTTTGCTGAGAAGCATCCCAGCCTGCAAAGATGTTTCCTAAGAAATTAGCAAACCGAAAAAATGACATTTGCACGTAGGTAAATGTCCTTTATACGAGTTCTGTTGCTGCTACTAATTCATCCAATAACGGCAAGACTGTGCCAAAAAAAGTCCTTGAATAATAAACGTTTTCAGCTGAAGGAATAAGAAGCACTGCAGGCGACGTTACCGTTTCCTGCTTTGCATACAGAATAAAAGCAAAATGGAAGTCTTTTTCTTTTCCTCCTGCCTTTATTTGTATGTTTGGCAAGTCTCGTCTCCTTGTCTCTTTTTTTCTTTGTCTCCTGGTTGTCCTTGTTACTTTGTCAAGTTGTCTTCTTCTCTCCCTTGTCTTCCGGTATCTCAGTCTTCTTGTCTCTTTGTCTCCTTGTTTCCTTTTGACTTTGTACATTTTATTCTTGTCTCTTTGTATCTTGGTGTCTTTTATCTCCTTCTATCCTTGTAGTCTTCTTGTCTTTTTGTCCCAATGTCTAATTCAGCTCCTCTTCTCTTTGTCTCCTTGTCTCTTTGTCTATTTGTCTTCTCGTTGTCTCCTGGTGTCCTTGTTTTTTTGCCTTTTTTCTCTGGTCTCTTTGTCTTATTATTATTTTCTTCTTAGTAGCCTTGTGTCCTTGTTTCTTTGTCAAGTTGTCTTCTTTTCTCCCTTCTCTTCCTGTATCTTAGTCTTCTTGTCTCCTTGCCTCCTTGTCTCCTTTTGACTTTGTTCATTTAATTCTTGTATCTTTGTGTCCTAGTTTTCTTGTCTCCTTGCCTCCTTGTTTCCTTTTGACTTTGTTCATTTAATTATTGTATCTTTGTGTCCTAGTCTTCTTGCCTCCTTGTTTCCTTTTGACTTTGTTCATTTAATTATTGTATCTTTGTGTCCTAGTCTTCTTGTCTCCTTGCCTCCTTGTTTCCTTTTGACTTTGTTCATTTAATTCTTGTATCTTTGTGTCTTAGTCTTCTTGTCTTCTTGTCTCCTTGCCTCCTTGTTTCCTTTTGACTTTGTTCATTTAATTCTTGTATCTTTGTGTCCTAGTCTTCTTGTCTCCTTGCCTCCTTGTTTCCTTTTGACTTTGTTCATTTAATTCTTGTATCTTTGTGTCTTAGTCTTCTTGTCTTCTTGCCTCCTTGTTCATTTAATTATTGTATCTTTGTGTCCTAGTCTTCTTGTCTCCTTGCCTCCTTGTTTCCTTTTGACTTTGTTCATTTAATTCTTGTATCTTTGTGTCTTAGTCTTCTTGTCTTCTTGTCTCCTTGTTTCCTTTTGACTTTGTTCATTTAATTATTGTATCTTTGTGTCCTAGTCTTCTTGTCTTCTTGCCTCCTTGTCTCCTTGTTTCCTTTTGACTTTGTTCATTTAATTATTGTATCTTTGTGTCCTAGTCTTCTTGTCTCCTTGCCTCCTTGTCTCATTGTTTCCTTTTGACTTTTTCATTTAATTCTTGTATCTTTGTGTCTTAGTCTTCTTGTCTTTTTGTCTCCTTGCCTCCGTGTCTCCTTGTTTCCTTTTGACTTTGTTCATTTAATTATTGTATCTTTGTGTCTTAGTCTCCTTGCCTCCTTGTTTCCTTTTGACTTTGTTCATTTAATTCTTCTATCTTTGTGTCCTAGTCTTCTTGTCTTTTTGTCTCCTTGCCTCCTTGTTTCCTTTTGACTTTGTTCATTTAATTCTTGTATATTTGTGTCCTAGTCTTCTTGTCTTTTTGTCCCAATGTCAAATCAAGCTCTTCGTTTCTCTGTCTCCCTGTATTTCTGTTTACTTGTATTTTTGTCTGTTTGGCGAGTCACGTTATTTCAATATTCTGATATTGGGAATGGGTTACTAGCAACATTTTAAAACAGGTCATTTATAATTGAATCACAAGTAACCTTCCCAACCCTTTATGTTATTCTGAAAGAGAATCATCAAACGTCAAAACAAACGTACCTTGGCCGACCGGAGCCTCCTGCTGACCGGGACTTTGTGGGGGACCGGCGTAGCTCCTGTCCATAGGAGGTGGGACGTTCTCGATGGTCTTTCCGAGCCCTAACTGCAGCATGGAGCCGTCCCCTGTCTCCTCCGTCTGCGCTGCAGGACGGTTTGACTCATCAGCAGGGTGGGTCACCGACTTCCTGTTGCTTTCAACTAAAGAAATCCCAGAATAACCAATTCATCCTGAGGAGGTCTGTACAATTGCTTTCAAACATCATCAATATCATTTCTAAACAAAAAGAGTTTCTAACATTTTGGGCAGAAGTCTTCGTCCGAGCGGTCGGTACAGTGCTGCTTCCCGTCACAGGCGTAGGTGATGTCAATACAGCAGCCGTCATCACACTTAAACTGGTACTTTGAACAGGAACCCGTGCACACTGTAGGCACAGAAAGTTACAGATACACACATTGAAATACTCTTGTGCTGTGAAAACAAAACCCAGTGATGCATGTCTTCAAAACTTTGAAATGGGCTCACTTCAAAAACAAACAAAGATAAATGTTTTGGTGAACTCATCACCTTCTGCTTGGTGTTTTGGTGCCAGCACAGTGACGGAGACGTTGTCAGAGCTCTTCTGTCCCGCTGTGTCTGTGACAGTCATCTGGAAGGAGTATACGCCCTCCTGCAGACCGCTGATCTTCAACAGCCCAGGATGAGTCGCCTTTGACACATAAAAAAGGGTTCAAATTTGAATGAATCGCATGTGTTCTCAGACTTTAAGAAGACACTCTTAACCCTTAGATGCACGAGTGACTGGACCCTACACTCGTCCATAAGTGGGTCAAAAAGGACCCGTATTAGAATAATATGTGTTTTTATGCCGTTTTTGGTTAAGAAAAATCACTTGTATAATATTTAGTATTATATTTTGGTTCACACTAGAAATATTTTAGATTTAATTTTCACTATTTATAATTTTAGACATTTTTTTTACATTTTGAAAAAAAACGTTTTGAACATCGATACAAAGATCTCCGCTATTCTGAGACCCTCACAGTGTTCCAGTCCCCTTTCAAAACTCATCTCTTCTCCTCTTGTCTACTCATAGCCCACCCCCCATCAATCCATGCCGGTTGATCAAGTTTGATAATCCTATACCCCCCACCCTAACCTTCCCTTATTGTAAAGCCATGTTGAGTCCTTGAAAAGCCCTATACAAATATAATGTATTATTATTATTATACTGACAGGTATCAGATCTTGCTGTGTATAATAATCTTCCTGAGAGGTGTCACTTGTGATGTCGTCTGTGTGGTCCACAGTGAATGTATTCCTGACAGCAACAGGTGATAAGAATCAAAGGTTCCCAGAGGATCCCATAGGAAATGCATGCGGGTCATTTTTGACCCACTTATGGAAGCTTGGGGTAGAAATACAAAAACTACAATTTCTTAAAATGTATAACATTTAAATTTAAAATTTGAATGGCATGATATCCAAAACATGTTTTTTGAGGAATAGCAATATGAAATGATAAAAAAATGTAATTACAAAGATACTTCAAGAAAACCACCTCACCGGGTCAAAAAGGACCCACTTATGCATCTAAGGGTTAAGTTGGTCTCCTCATGGTGGCTCTCAGGCAGTAAACAAAGGGCTTGTTCCAACATTGCGGCTGTGCTTAGAGCTGATTTGCACGTAATAAACTCTATCTCTGTTTGTACAGTGCAGTATTATGGAGCTCTGGCCACAAGCCTCTGTGTTGACTTAACTGCTAAACAGCCATTTGACACTGGTGTCTGGGAGGGACATTTGTGACTATTCAAACTGCATATGGAAATGTGGAAAACATCTGCTCCCTGAAAGAAGAGAGAGCAGTAGAGTTTTATTCCAGTATAATTTGTTATTTCAGTCTGTCTTTCCTCTTGTGTTTGTTTTCAGGTTTTCAAGGTTCAAAATTCAAGGCTTTTATTAGTTATACATGCATAGCTACAGTGTAGTTATGACGATGAAAATCTTAGGTCAAAGGCTCACATAGAGCATCCAAATGACACTGTAAAGAATGATTTTACAACAAGATTGGCTTTTATTGATACAGACCTTCATATTGATGGCAGTGTCTCCCTTAACGAGAGTCCACTCGTAGTAGCTGATCCTGTGGTCGTCCACGCTGTCCCGCCCATCCAGGACGGCCCAGTCTGTGGGCAGCTGGATCACCACATCCTGTCCAGCATCACTGCGGGGGGGCTCATCTGCTGAATCACACAGGATGACCATTACATTACATTACATTACATTGCATTTAGCTGACGCTTTTATCCAAAGCGACTTACAATAAGTACATTCGACCAGGAAGACACAACCTTGAAGAAAACAGAATCATATAAGTACATCAGGTTTCATAGAGCCAAACATTTCAAGTGCTACTCAACTGGCTTTAGGTAATCCAGTCCTTTGTTAGTATATAAGTGCTTTGTTAATAGTTCTAACGCTCGAAGTGGAGTCGAAAGAGATGAGTTTTCAGTCTGCGCCGGAAGATGTGCAAGCTATCTGCCGTCCTGATGTCAATGGGGAGCTCATTCCACAATCTTGGAGCCAGGATAGCAAATGATGACCATGATAATATAACGGACATGTACTGTCTATATGCCCACTCTTTTTCAATTTACACTTATTATTTGATGCTCTTATCACAGAATTGCAGTAAGAAGAACGAAAGTAAAGAATTATGCTTACTATTTTTGGGATGTGCAATATGCAAAGAATTATGTTGACTTGATAATCTTGCTTAAAATGAACTAATTGGTTGATAAACTATTTCAGCACTTTACTTATTATTTCACCACCTATAATATGATTTAAATTGACTAGAATCTGCATTTTTCTTGCTCTGATGGAAATAAATAAATATAGCCATTGTCACAAATACACATGCAACTTGTCTCGTTGCCCTAATCTCATTTGCATAACCTTAAAGGCAAATCATTAACACACCCTGCCTGTTTTATCACAAGTAGCAGATGCTAGAGGTCAACCCTCATGTAGTGAGATATATTTTAAAAAGCTGACATAAAATTGTAAGTAAAGTCTATCAAATGTGATGATGCCACTTAGGGGAGATTAAACCGAGACTGTAGTCCGGGTTTCTAAAGCCCAGTAAAGTTTGATGTACCAACCTTTGCCCAACCAGATGGACAAGGAAGCAGGCATATGTATTTGGGTCCACATTCTTCACCCTCTATATTCCAGTAATATATAAAAACATTCCTGTATTATACTTTCCAATATTAAACTTATTATACTAATCACTATATTATCAGCAGTGTTCTCGATGAGCAAGGCGTACACACATATATACTTTGTTATTATTATTATCATAATTTAAACTTTAATCAACTAACTACTGGGTGAATATGCATACTGATTAGTTGACCAAACCTAACGCCCACTTAACTTAATTACACATTACTTAATTAAGCTTTAATGTAAAAATAATGTAACCATAGGTTGACAGGCTATCCATGCCTCCCTCCTACATAATGGATCAATACATTTGATATTAGGATTATTGTCATATCCCACCTTGTGTATTCTCCTCTTCTGGATGTCCCTCCCCGGGCCTCCTCGCGGGGCTGCCGGGGGAAACAGGGAGTTGTTCCTGCGTGTTGTTGGGATTCCGGCTGTATGTGGTGAAGCCCTGCTGAGGAGCGAAGGAGCAGACATTTTTATTCCTGTATGTGCAGTTGAACAGGTAGCAGCTGAGACTGTCCCCGGGCTGCCTCAGGTCCTGCTGAACCACCGCCACGGTGCAGTGCGGCTGGGAGCAGCAGGCGTGCAGACAGTCCCTCCAGGAGAACACCCTGTCCGGGGCCAGCAGGAAGGTGGCCCCCTGCTCGATGGAGGCCTTGGCTCGGATGATGCGCTCCCCTACGGCGTTGAAGTCGCCCACACAGGAGTCAACCACATCGCCTGCTGCCTTGTACGTCTGGTCCTGCTGCAGCTGCTTGCGGAACTCCTCCAGGAGATCCTCCACGCTGGATATCTTGGATTTTAGATCCGATATTGGCAAAGACCGAGCGTCAGTTGGTCGGGCTGCGGTCAACAACACAACGAAACAAGCTAGCAGCAGGCGGGGATGCTGAAGAAGAGCCATGTTGGTCACGCAGTTAAACACCCTCTTCTGCATCCACCTGCTCTCCGACACATCCACACAGAAAAACAACCTTCCTACATTAAATAATTATCCGTAAATTAACGATATTTGTACATAATATTTGTACATAATATTCGTCTTTAAATCCTGAGCAAACGCGCCTACGGTTGTTCTCTGATGACGATGCTAGAAATCTGTCGTTGTCATGGTGAAGGGGGAGACGGCCGCGAGACCAGATGAAACCACTGACGTCACCATGATGGACACCTGCAGCTCTGTTTACCTGACTCTCTCTCTCCCTCTATTGTTCACACTTATATTTATATATATTTTATTGTGAAAAATTGGTATAGTAGTAAAGTAGAGAAAATCTAAATGAAAGAAAATAATGAAATAAAGAATATAAATAAGGGACAGATTGAGAAAATCAATCAATCAACCAATCAATCAATAAGTGTTTATTTATACAGCCCAATATCACAAATGTTATATTTGTCTCAGTCGTCTTCACAGTTTGTACAGAATATCAGTATGACAATACGACACCCTCTGTCCTTAGACCCTCAAATCGTACAAGGAAACACTTCCAGAGAAACCCCGCAGTTTAAAGGGGAACATGGGAGAAACCTCAGGGAGAGCAACAGAGGAGGGATCCCTCTCCCAGGACGGACAGACGTGCAATAGATGCCGTGTGTAAATTGAAGAGATAATACATTTACAACATAGTCCAAATGTTTGGAAATGCATGTGTCTGTAATAAGAAGATGAATCCACGTGGATGTCAACAATCTTGTGGGAGCCATCAGGGAAGTAGTATGATGAGAGTCAGGCAGGACCGCAGAGACAGGTTCAGCCACGACTCGAAATCCAGGACTCAGGACTCAGGATCTAGGGCTCGCGATCCAGGACTCAGGACCACAGCAACAGGATTCGCCACGGCTCAGCATCCCAGCGTAAAATAGACACCAAAAAGACATTTGGGGAAGCTGGGTTAATGGGAACATGAGAGTACACAGGTATAGACAGAGAGAAGGAAGAAGTAAGGTGACCCCTAACAGTCTAAGCCTATATCAGCAAAACTAGGGGCTGAATCTAATCAGCCCTAACTACAAGCTTTATCAAAAAGGAAGGTCTTAAGCGCACTCTTAAAAACGGATAGGGTGTCTGCCGCCCGAACACAAACTGGAAGCTGATTCCACAAATGTGGAGCTTGATAAGAAAAGGCTCTGGCTCCCATTGTACTTTTAGAGACTCTAGGAACAACCAACAACCCTGCATTCTTGGAACGCAATGCCCTAGTAGGACAGTAGGGTATAATGAGTTCTTTAAGGTAAGATGGCGCCTGCCCATTAAGGGCTTTGTAGGCGAGGAGAATAATTTTAAATTCTATCCTGTGTTCTATAGGGAGCCAGTGTAAGGCAGCCAGAACAGGAGTAATGTGGTCCCTTTTCCTAACTCTGGTTAGTACACGAGCTGCAGCATTTTGAATCAGCTGAAGCGACTTGACTGACTTCTTGGTACACCCTGATAATAAAGAGTTACAATAATCCAGCCTTGAAGTAACAAGGACTAGTTTCTCTGCATCGTTTTGAGGCAAGATATGCCTGATTTTTGCAATGTTACGTAGATGAAAAAAGGCGGTCCTTGAGATTAATTTGATGTGGGCGTTAAAGGATAAATCCTGATCAAAAAGAGTCATGATGGTGCGCATGCATTGTATGCGATGTGCACTGCCATGTCTTTTTTACATATGAAAACCATACTGTATATATAAAGATGAAAACCCCCAAACAAAACCATTATGATGATTTATGGCTTAAAATGGAAATCCAATTCAAAATGCCTGTAGGAAAAATTACTATAAAACACAATATAATCATTAAACAATTTTCATAATTATGTTTTGTAGCACATTTTCATGTGTAGAGAGGAACCATTGCTTATACTTTTAATTAAAACAAATCCACTACCAAATCCAATCACATCTTACACATTTCTTTCACAGTTTCAATGATGAAAAGTTTTATTTTTTACAATATGACAACAATCTTGAATATTTTTAGATATGAAACAACACGGACACAATGCTCATGATTATGTTCCCCATTTCTGACATCAAGAAAAAAAGGCAAGGCTCTATCATCTGATTTTTTTGCCTGAATTTCAGATATTTGACTGAATGGTCATACACACGCAAGATAAACACAAGTGTGTCAGTGTACAACAATAAAACAGATGATGTTATCTTACTTACAAACTGAGTAATATCTCCTATTATTCGTTACACAAAAAATACAATACTATACAATTATTTGATGTGTTCATAATAGACTCTGTCCAATTTACATGGCAATTAAACTATCAATGTGGTTTTAAAGTACATATATGTTGTTAACATTTAATTATTTAACACAATATTTACATGTTCTGGGAAAATACAAATGTAGATTTGTTTTATAAAAAGAAAATGTGAAAAAACTATTTTTTAAATAAAAAGTCTCAGTATGGATAAAATTAAAAAATAAGATAAGGGCATGCGCTGACATCCTTCAGATTACCAAAACAATTAAATTAAAAATACATTTAAATAAAATTAGTGATGATATGACTATGATAAAAACATTAGCCCAGATGATTTTGAATGTAGTATTTTGTATCTCAGGCTTGTATTAGAAAAAGGTCAGGCTCCAGTTTTGTAAACGTTACATCTTGTAAAGACAGGAGAAAATGTTTTTATAGTTAAGATTTTCTCATTTTTTACACACCTGTAACAAAACGCTGTGTTTTCCATCAGGCAAAGCACAATTTATGGCACTTCTTAGTAATTGTTGCTTTCAAAGTGACCTTTTTCCCCAAATCCTTGTTTTCCAAAGCTATCAAAATACTCCGCAGAGACAAGAGTTCCTTGTGCGAGTGGAAAGCTGCTTTGTGCACACGGCAAACACAGGTTCTTCTCCTAAAAGTCTTGCTCTTAAATACTGAGGTAAAGAGGAGAATACTGAGTTTTTGGGATGGAGTGGTCGTCGACACTCAAGGCCTCAGGTTGGCTTCTGCCTGTAGTCTGTGATGGCCTTCCATAGTTTACACAGGATCCCGCCTCTGCAAGGACACACAGAAAAACACTGTTTCAAAATATGTAAACGAATAGGCTTTAACTTGCATAACACCGCATGTCATATAACTCAGCCCTTCGTCATCTTTTGCTGAATAAATACACAATATAAAATTCAACACATTTTTACATAGTTTTTTCTTTTGTCATCAAAGTCAGTTTATGCACAATTAATGTAGAACAGGGTTTCTGTAGGGTACCTTCATGTTGAATGTCTTAAAGACCATTTTAATACCACATATGATGTAATATATTGACCAAAGTACGAAAGAAAACCAAGAGATGATCGGAAATTAAACCAAAATATTGATGTTTCAGTACTCCCCAGCAGTATTTGGTAATAATTCCAATATCATTCTGATGATAATAATATAATTAATTAAATGAATGCAAACTGGACCAGAATAATCTACTGTGAGTTGATGTGGAAGTGAAAGGTCTCTACAAAAAAAGTTGAACATCCTTCTGTTCACATAATTCACTAGCAGGACAAAAACATTTAAGAGGTTTAAAAAATGTCATTTAATTAAAAAATATATATATTTTGAGGAAGTTTTCAAGACCTGCAAGTGCCTGTGTACAACAGGTCTTTATTCACACTACCAGTAGGTGGCGCCAAATACAGACATGTACAAATCCTACATAGTTGTTTACCATCATGAGTTTTAAAATGTCGTACTGTTTTTGGGGACAATATATACTATGAGCTAATGTATTGCTACTAATAAGAGGAAGTAAGAAAGGAGATGAAAACTGTAGTATGTATGTTTACAGATGAGATGAACCTGTAAGAACAGTTTCACACAACTTACAAAGTCCAGATAAAAGGAAACCAAAGACTGAAGTCACCTAAAAGGTTTCTGGGTAATTAAGCTGCGAGTACAAACTCCATTATGGAAAACAGTTGTCTCAGCTTCACTTCTGTGTTTCCTGTAGATGGAGAGCCGCAGTCCGTTTTAGATGCGAGTGTCAACATGTATTTTTAGTGACTTAATACTGAATAGAGAAGTGAAACTGTGAAAAGACCGTAAAAAAAAAACAAGGGTTGGCTACCTCAGACTTAAACTCTTCAGATCATCTCTTGTTACTTCGTGGAGGATGTCGTCCAGCGTATACTCTTCGTTCAGTATCTGGAGAAACAAAAATGCATTAAACAACCTGAAAAGTAACATCCAAGAAAACATGCTCTCTGCACCCAAAAACTGTATAATGCTTTATAATGTCATTTATTTTATTATTTATTACAGTTGCAAAAGCATCAAACAACACATTTTGGAAAAGGGCATTATAAAAAACACATTTCTCATTGTCGTTGGAACACGAAAATCATTAAACACAAGCTTTAATATCCACAATATGTTGCAGTATAGCCGGATGTTGTCATGGTGTGATGAAGCAATAGACCAGGGGTGTCCAAACTACGGCCCGGGGGCTAAATGCGGACCTCGGGTCGTTATGAAACGGCCCTCAGCAAATTTAAAAAGTATAATGGAGTATGGCTAAAAAATGAAACTTGTGCTTGTCTTGTGTTGTACTTCTTAAATATAGATGACAACAGATATGACACAGTGTTCATGTGTTAAGAAGCCCACTCTTCAAACTAATCCAGTCAGTTAAAGTTGAAAACATTTTCTATCAAATCTAAGGTGATAATAAAAAAGCCCAACAACTTATTTTCACAACACGCTTGAAATACACCCTTCCTATTTCCTCTTATGATAAGCAATCTGAGGCTTCTGTTTTAAGGAATGAGCTGCTAACACAAGAAATGAAACCCCTTTTGAGAGCTGTGATGTAGGCTGTTTGGTTTCTTAAAGCATATTCAAGTATTAAGCATAATTTACCTACATTTGATTGATATTGCCGACTCATAACTTAACTAATGAGGCAATATAGCTCACCTCTAGTGAGGGGCCCAACCCTTTGTATATTTGTCTGTATGTGGCCCTCGGTGAAAAAAGTTTAGACACCCGTGCAATAGACCATTTCCAAGCAGAGGTAGAGACTCACTCTGTCGATGGAGTCCTGGTCGGCGCCGTAGAGCCTCAGCCAGCTGGACACCTCTGAGTCTTCATGTCTCACTGCTGGCAGACTCCTCTCCTCCTCGGGGTCACCTGATGATG